CATCGGATGACCGACGAAATTGGGATCTCGCTTAGAGAGACCAATCTACTTTGAGTGTAAACTAAACGAGCCAATGCACATTGGCATGTGATTATTGCATCCAGCTGCCGCTGATCACTGTGTGAGTATAAGTAGGCAGCAGATGCAGCGCATATTCAGCTTTTCGCTTCGGAGCCGAGCGATCACATCGTTCTGCTCCTGACTACTCTACTGAGAGAAGAAGACTGAACGAGTTCAGTGCGTTCTTGGAGAGCTCTTCGTGTTCATGTGATCATCTCGGGCTGGGCGACCCCTAACACATTCACTAGATTCTATAGCCTTCGTGTGGAGCCGGTATCCTCCTGTGTTCTCACCTCAAACGGGTAGAAGCACTGAGAGGCCCCGGCTTCGGGTCGGCTTGCAAAAACCACTCCAGAGAGTCCATATAGTAGACCCTGTTGAGCTCTCCATCCCTTCGGCAGCCAGACGTGGCGGAGCGTCCGGCGCCAGGCCGGTAGAAGGCTGGGTTCCATATGTAAGGCCTAAGTGGATCCCATATGTGTAAAGTCCACGGTATAGCCTCGAGCCCATGTTTCCCCGGCAGACTTCTGCCATTCCAAGAGGGTTACAATCACCTCCAATTTATTTTTTTTGCAAGAAATGAATGCTTTTATTCAACAAAAATGCATTAAATTAATCAAATTTATAGTAAAGACTGATATTTGTTACTAAAAAATCATCAAATTCATCTATTCATAAAAGAATTCTGAAAAAAAATGTTTACACAAAAACCGTTTTCAACTGATGATGATTTGATTATTTTATTTAAGCAGCAAAAATTGAAATTTTACTGCAGCAGCAAATTAGCATATTAGAAAGATTTCTGATGGATCATGTGACACTAAAAACTTATTCAATTAGTATTCAATTCAATTCAAGTTTATTTGTATAGCGCTTTTCATCGTTGCTAAGCAACTTTTCAGCAAATTAAGTTTCTACAATATTTAGTGGTAGCTTATCAGTGGTGACTGTCAGTTAATGTACATATGGCAGAAATGTACGGAAAAATCAATTAAAGACGTAATCAAACAGCCGATGAACACTATTAATAGCAATTATTATATGATGCAATCAAACTTATAGCAAATTAGCAAATTAATTAAAAAAAGTATTGATACTGAAAATGTAACATTGCTATCACAGGAAGAAATTACGATTGGAAAATATTAAAATATAAAACCATTATCTTCATGCTGCTCTTTTCCAGTTCTTAGAGTAAAAAGTAATGACTAAAATCATTTGAGTGAACTGTTCCTTTAAAAGCTGCTAGTCATTCAAACAACCCAATTACAGTTTTGCACATCTCCGGTGTCTATTTAGACCTTTTAATTATGGCCTCCGCACATCCTCTGTGTGATTCTGTATGTTCCTCCCATCCATCAGAAACTGCACCTGAGTGAAGATGTAGCAGGAGCAACCTTCATGGCAGCTGGAAGCTCCGCCCCCGAGCTGTTTGCCTCTATAATTGGTAAGCCACACGTACAGGTGCTTGTATGTGCATTTATTAGTCATGTGTCAGCAGATGCTGTGGATCAGGACTCTCTTGCTTTGTTTTGCAGGTGTGTTCATAACACATGGAGACGTGGGGGTGGGTACCATAGTAGGCTCAGCCGTGTTCAACATCCTGTGCATCATCGGCGTGTGTGGGATATTTGCAGGGCAGGTGAGAATCTCTCTGAGCTCTGTATACACCTCTCTTCCTTTGGATCTGCTGTGACTTTTGACCTTTTCATGTTTTCATCTGAGCAATGCAATGTGAAAATTAATCAACAGGATTGTTTTTTTCCCTTCTTACTCTCATTTCAAACAATGGTTTATTTTTAAATATTCCATTAAAAAAATTAGGGATGCGCTGATCCGATATTCATATCAGGTATTGGCTCCGATAGTGCCATTTTTCTCGGATCGGGTATTGGTCAGTGAGAGCTGATCCAAATCCGAGATTTTTTATTATTAATTTATTTATTTTTTCTCGATTGCGCGAATTATTCTGTGTTACTTCTGAAGCCATACGATAGCTTAATGTGAGCTACATATGAATATTTAAGTCCTTACATTAAAGTTCACACAAACTCTTTTCTCCACTGTGGCTGTCAGTCATTCGTTCAGCCTTTAAACCCTGGTCGCGTTCGGTTACAGCAGTCAGCTCGGTAAAGCTCTCTCCAAGATCATTCTGTGTTCCCATTGTACTTGATTTGTAAATACATGTCTATGCTTTTGCAAAAAGGACTTTATCTTCTTGCCGGAGTTTAATGTTGTTTTGTTACTTGCTACTGGGTGTCTGTGTGAACAAAACACGGGCGTAGAAAAGACTATAAATTGTTTTTAACGTAACTGAAATTGAAAACTGTTGAAAGAAAGGCTCAATAACTTTTGCACAGATATAATAATATAATACACTACGCATCAATTTCTCTTCCCTTTGTGCTTTGCAGTTTTTAACACGAAGCGCTTACAATGTGTATATATATATATAAAATGTTTGGATTTCTAAAATTATTGTGCACTGATTTTTCTAGAATAACTTTTGCTGCCGAATTTTCCACTAACCTAGTTTATGATACATTTTTGTCATCGATTATAAATATACATAGGCCTATATTTTTTCATATTTGTTTATTTTATTTTTCTTTATATGAAGTAGTCTGTATCTAGTAGATTGTGAAAGAATGATTATCAGTTCCACACACAGAGTATATAATCAGTATATATCAGTTCCACACACACATTATGTATAAATTCTACATTTATTTAAATGAGGGGGAAAAACTTCACTGGTATCGGATCGGAATCGGTATCGGCCAATACCAAACCCTAGGTATCGGAATCGGTATCGGAGGCAAAAAAGGCGGATTGGAGCATCCCTAAAAAAAAAGTGAAAGTTCTACCACATTAAATATAGGCTTTGCAGGCAAATACTTTGGTTACTCTAATGAGGTCCAAGAAAGGCCTTTTTAAAAGCACACTGCTGTGATATTTTTGTCTTTTGAGAAATAAAACCTTTTTTTGTTGTGGCTTATGGCATGACTTGAGGGTACAGTAGACGTGATAAATTTAACAAAGCAAAAAAAAAAAAACTGTGTTTACAAAGATCTTCTCTTTTCCCACTAGGTTGTTTTTCTCACCAAGTTTGCTGTGTTCAGAGACTCAATCTACTACATTTTATCTGTGGTTGCCCTTATTGCAGTAAGTGTCATTAATCTAATGAGCTTTGGTTTCTAAGAGTCAAAATAGAGTAGGTTCTAGAAGTAAAAATCCCATTAAATTTCTCCACAAAGAAACTGATAATTAGCAATAAAAAAATAAATAAAAATATACTTTCAAAATAGGTGGACCATGAGCTTTGAGGATGTTAAACAATGGTTTAGAAGCTTTTATGAAGAAAAGTCAGTAGTGCTTGTAGAAGTTGTTGCCATTATGGAGTAGAGTATTTCTAAATGGGCCAGTAACCACCAAGAACACCCCAGCAACCAAGTCAAAGGATCCCACTTCAGTATTATTCAATACGCTTCAGATGTTTTTTTTATGAAAATCAATTACTTTTTTGCTTTATTTTGTATTGTAGTTTCAGATTTGATTCCAGTATTTGCTGTGCCCTTATAAAATACTTAAAGGGATAGTTCACCCAAAAAATGAAAATTCTGTCATTAATTACTCACCCTCATGTCGTTCCAAACCCATAAGACCTTCATTCATCTTCAGAACACATATTTTTGATGAAATCCGAGAGCTTTCTGACCCTGCATAGAGAGCAATGCAACACTTACTTCCAAAAAGGAAGTAAGAATATCATTAAAATAGTCCACGTGACATCAGTGGTTCAGCCGTAATGTTATGAAGCTACGAGAAAAAAATTTGTGCGCTAAGAAAACTTAGGAAGAAAAGAGACTTTATTCAACCATTTCTGTTCACAAGAGTACGTCTTCACATGCGTTCACAAGAGTACCACGACACGTGTGTGGTGCTGCTGACACATGAGCTGGCGTTCTGACATAGAACCAGATGCACTGCGCCTTGTTTCCAAGCAGAGGACAGGGTGGCCGCGGGTCCTTAAAAAGTCTTAAAATGTCTTAAATAAAGTTTTCCTAAAAAAAAGGCCTTAAAATGTCTTGAATTCAGATTCAGTGGGTCTTAAATATTTTTGGTCATATTACTGCAAAAATTTCTCCAGTCTGACGGACCCAGTGACTGTTTACAATCATTGGACAGACTGAAGATTTTTTCCCCGCTGTAGTTACCGCGTCATCCGAGAGAATTACGATAGCAGAATACAGCTCGCTGAACTTCCAAAAAGGAAGTAAGAATATCATTAAAATAGTCCACGTGACATCAGTGGTTCAGCCGTAATGTTATGAAGCTACGAGAAAAAAATTTGTGCGCTAAGAAAACTTAGGAAGAAAAGAGACTTTATTCAACCATTTCTTGTCTTCCGTGTCAGTCTTCACATGCGTTCACAAGAGTACCACGACACGTGTGTGGTGCTGCTGACACATGAGCTGGCGTTCTGACATAGAACCAGATGCACTGCGCCTTGTTTCCAAGCAGAGGACAGGGTGGCCGCGGGTCCTTAAAAAGTCTTAAAATGTCTTAAATAAAGTTTTCCTAAAAAAAAGGCCTTAAAATGTCTTGAATTCAGATTCAGTGGGTCTTAAATATTTTTGGTCATATTACTGCAAAAATTTCTCCAGTCTGACGGACCCAGTGACTGTTTACAATCATTGGACAGACTGAAGATTTTTTCCCCGCTGTAGTTACCGCGTCATCCGAGAGAATTACGATAGCAGAATACAGCTCGCTGACCAGCCTCCTAACTACTTTAAATGGGTTCATGCAAGTTTACTGAAAAATGGCTGGAGAATTTTACTTGCCTAACAGGACTAATAGTCTGATTTAGTGCTGTGTTCGATACATCGATACGATGATGTATTGTCACAGAGATTTGACGATACGAGTATCGATACAGCTGTCCCTGTATCGATATTGTGCCACGTGTGCAGCAGTGGACCGCGCTTAATTTAAATACAAGAACAACGTTTAAAATTGAGTAGAAAAGTACGAGGTTTCTAAAAAATACTGAATAGCGCATAATATATAGGCTACAACAAGGTTTAATCTGGCCGCAGAGGAACACAACCGGGGTGCTGTGTTCGATACATCGATACGACGATGTATTGTCACAGATTTGACGATACGAGTACAGCTGTCCCTGTATCGATATTGTGGCACGTGTGCAGCAGTGGACCGCGCTTAATTTAAATACAAGAACAACGTTTAAAATTGAGTAGAAAAGTACGAGGTTTCTAAAAAATACTGAATAGCGCATAATATATAGGCTACAACAAGGTTTAATCTGGCCGCAGAGGAACACAACCGGGGTGTGCTGCTAATATCTGCTAAGTGTGCTACTTGTCTTTGTCAACCTGGCAACCATGTGCTCGCGCTCTCTCTCCACTGTGGATAAACACGCTTGCTTTATGAAAACACTGGTAAGCTTGCAGTTTAGCGATCAGATTTAGCGTTACTTAACTGTAATACATTATATATTACTAGTTACTATCTTTTGAAAGTAATTAGTGACATTACAATATTACTGTCTCTGAATTGTAATGTGTTACACTTCTTTTGAGTTACTTTCACCAAAATATCCACAGAAGTATTATAAAATGCCAAAATGTAGTTTATTGCTGCTCATACTACATCCAGTGGAGTGTAATGTGGTAGGTCTATATAGCATAAAATATATGAAATCATATTTAGTATGTAGGTCTACATTAATGTTACGTTGTAGCCTAGTTTAGGTTAAAAAAATATAAGCACAAATCGCATTATTACATTCATAAATAACACTGGTAAATAAAGCGAAATATTATCATGTACAAACAATAAACACAATACCTAGCCTATAGGCTATTTTGAACGGTTTCAGAAAAAAACAGGAATGAAAAATATAAGTTGCTAAACTAGCCAAAATGAATTAGGCTAATTCAATGCTAAACTGAAAGCAAACGGCGTTCTCGTGCAGCCTACCTCTCTCATTCGGTATTAATCCAAATAAATGTGTCCATATTTGCGATGTATTTGAATGCTAAACTAGTATTTATTATGTAAACCAAGCTTACGTAACGCACTTAAAAACATCCTCGTCACATGAGCAAATGTGTGTTTGGCCCGAGCTCAGGCTGATCGGCACAGATTGTACTACACAGTAGGCTACGCACTATTTAAATTAAACAGTGTATCTATATGTTTGGTTGACTGTATTTTATTCTGATAATGAACAGGCTGCAACGTTTGCAATGTTGTATGTGTGTGCGTGAGGCGCCGGCGCAATCGAACAGTGGAAACAAACAACAAAAAAAATACTCCGTCATTTTTGGTCATACAGATCATTCGAAACTGCAATGTGTTTATTTCTGTCATCTCAGTTTCCTTTCCATGGACTTTCGTAGAGCGCCGCGCCATACAAATAGCATATGAACCAAACTCGGCAGCATAGCCTATCTCTCAGTCTTTTCCTTTCGTTTTGTTAATCTGTTAATTAGGCTATTTACAGTGGGTACGGAAAGTATTCAGACCCCCTTAAATTTTTCACTCTTTGTTATATTGCAGCCATTTGCTAAAATCATTTAAGTTAATTTTTTCCTCATTAATGTACACACAGCACCCCATATTGACAGAAAAACACAGAATTGTTGACATTTTTGCAGATTTATTAAAAAAGAAAAACTGAAATATCACATGGTCCTAAGTATTCAGACCCTTTGCTCAGTATTTAGTAGAAGCACCCTTTTGATCTAATACCTATTAATATGCCATTCCTCCTTGCAGATCCTCCAGTTCTGTCAGGTTGGATGGTAAACGTTGGTGGACAGCCATTTTTAGGTCTCTCCAGAGATGCTCAATTGGGTTTAAGTCAGGACTCTGGCTGGGCCATTCAAGAACAGTCACAGAGTTGTTGTGAAGCCACTCCTTCATTATTTTAGCTGTGTGCTTAGGGTCATTGTCTTGTTGGAAGGTAAACCTTAGGCCCAGTCTGAGGTCCTGAGCACTCTAGAGAAGGTTTTCGTCCAGGATATCCCAGTACTTGGCCAATGAAGGTGTAGAACCATCTCAAGGATGATCAGAAGAAATGGACAGCACCTGAGTTAAATATATGAGTGTAGTATTTAATGTGTTTAATGTAAAAAGAAAACAAAATATCATCGCTGTCAAAAATGCTATTCATTATTATGATATACAGTGAAGTTTTCATATCAGCAGACAATATCCCATATAAAATATCCCCACAAAAGCACTGCATCACTGAGATTTTTGGTGGTGCAAACTATTTATTCGGAAGCAATATTTTCATCAGTATTCTATCAGTTTTACATTAATCTGCATATTTTTAATATTTACCCCAGGATGTTATTTACCTTTATAAAGGCCACCACGCCGAGTGTTGCTTGGAGAATGTACAGTGCTTCTGTTCTGATATTTGTTTGGAACTATTTTCGTTGGTGAAATAGAACAAAACAGTCAATATTGTGTCTAAAATGTAAGTAACTTAATATACTTAACTACTTGTTTGTTGAACTAAAATTAATTTAACATTTGTAATCGTGAAAATATTCAGTAAAATAGCCCCCTTGTCATGGTGTGTTATGTAATTATATCATGCTATAAATAAACTAAACATTTAGAATTTTTATCTCAGTATGTTTATTCTGTTTCTTTATGTGTGCCGTTACGATCATTTGATTTGATTTCTCCATGAAAGTCTCTCACAAAGACAGACAGCACGAGCCTCAACAGCGCCACATTGATACCAGAAATACACTATCCATTATCAATCGCTGTTTAAGCTGAATGTAGTAAAATCAGAAGAATCATTCTCGCGTTTCGATGCGTCACAAGTTCTTGTAAAAGTTCAAAGACTTTTGTCACTTAAGTTTTAATCAGGCTAGGGCTGTGAATCACCAGCAATATCTCGATACGATACGTATCACGATACGATACGTATCACGATCAGTGTTGGGAGTAACGCATTACAAAAGTAAAAATATTACAGTAGTATATTACTTTTTGCTGTAACGCAAGTTACAACAACATATTTTAACTCAAAATTAAGTGGTGAATTTACTAACACCGCAAAACAGCACCAGAGAAAAAATTCTGCGGGTAAAATAGTTTGTCTATTTCCTGTTGCTGGAATTAGATGGTTGAGATGACTGCAGAGACGGATTCTACATTTGTGAGATGGACACACTCCTGTTATTTTCAGTTAAAGGGGTCATATGATGCTGCTAAAAAGAACATTATTTAGTGTATTTGGTGTAATGAAATGTGTTTATGCGGTTTAAAGTTAAAAAAACACATTATTTTCCACATTATTGTATCTCCTCTATGCCTTTTTGAAACGCGTCGATTTTTACAAAGCTCATCGGTCTGAAAAGCGAGGTGTGCTATGATTGGCCAGCTATCCAGTGCATTGTGATTGGCCGAATACCTCAAGCGTGAGACGGAAATGTTACGCCCCTCATCATACTGTTGATGCCGTGTCCCGGCCGGAGTGACGAGACAAAAACATTAAAACCAATTACAAACGAGGCATTTGTTGCATCCAGTGGGGACATAATTACATCGCGCCACGTAAACATAAAACCCTGTCTGCATTTGTGATCGGAGAAATGACAAACAACAAGTGCTACTCTACACTGCCCAAAACTTGCGTTTGAATCATCAGTGGCAAATCCTTTAAATGAAAACGTACTTACAGACTGTCTGTGAGTCAGAACAGCCGGCAATGTAGTCTACTCTACCAGGATCAGGAAACAGTCCTCCATAAAATGTGCTGCACACATCTGGATATTTGGGTTAAACTTTTCTGGAACAGTGTTGTAAATACAACTTAACCACTGATTTGTAGTCGTGTCCTCTTTTGGAAGATCAAACAAAGTAGTTTCGCTTTCACAATGAAAAACACGGCGGCCTAGCGTGAGCAGAAGCCGCGGCTTAGCATGAGCTGAGGCCGGGCTAGAGTCGGGGTTGAGAACGGCCGGCGGATCCGATGAAGGAGCGGCAACCACATGTGACGACGAATTTAACTTGGTCATATCTGTAGACTCCCTGGCAGATGCACACATGTGTCATGGTACTCTTGTGAACTGGTGCCGAAGACTGACACAGAAGAGAAGAAATTTTTTTTTCTTTGCGCACAAAAAGTATTCTCGTAGCTTCATAAAATTAAGGTTGAAGCACTGATGTTACATCGACTATTTTAACGATGTTTTTACTACCTTTCTGGGCCTTGAACGTGGTAGTTGTGTTGCTGCCTATGCAGGGTCAGAAAGCTCTTGGATTTCATCAAAAATATCTTACTGTGTGTTCTGAAAATGAACGAAGGTCTTACAGGTTTGGAACAACATAAGAATTAATGACAACATTTTCAATTTTGAGTGAACTATCCCTTTTAATACACAGATATAAAGACAATACTTGTATCTTTGTCAATCTTTCTTTTAAAAAGCAACAACAAAAAAGTTTGTTCATAATGGGGCTCGTTGGTTTGGTTCAAGTCTTTATTAAACACCTTTTTAAAAAAAAAAAATCTGAAGGAAATCATGAAGAAAATACTGGGTTGTCACTGATGAGCTCTATAGAGCATGTAATCTGCTGCCACTCCATGACTATTTACACACTCTGCACTTTTCTTTCAGTTTATTTATGATGAAAAGATTTTGTGGTAAGTGAACATCTGAGTATATTCTATTCTGATTGGTTGAAGGCAGACACATGATTGTCTTTCTCCTCCTCTGTCTCTGCAGGTGGGAGAGTCTGATACTGATTGTCATGTATGTTGGCTACATTATCATCATGAAGTGAGTCCACCTTCGTTTTGTATACTCATTTATTTAAACATTTATTTTAGTTCAAACTATTTAGCCTTACGTTTTTTAAATTATCATGTTTTCCATTAATATTTGACATTTTAAATAAAGGAGTGTGTTATTGAAATGTTTATTGCTGTGGTATGAAATAAGTGTTTAATATTGAGTCTTTGCTGGTATTTTTATACTGACTGACTATACTGTCCCCATGAAATCAAAATTAAAGTTTTTGGGGTGTTTATTATCAATATGTTAGTCTTAAGGTTATCTATAAGGCAGTGTGCTCCAAAACAGTGACAAAATTCGCATTTAAAAGATGTAAGCATGCAAAGCTTGCAGTTCGTCACTTCCGATTTTTTACTGACGTCACATCGTACTTCAGCGTCTCATCAAACTTTCTGTCCAATCAAATGCTCTCTAGAATCCGAATTCTAGCAGCCCGCCCCCTACACTATAAAATAGACGCTGAAGCCGCGGCTGAAATTGGTCACTTGTCCACAGAATTAGTATTTTCTGTACAGTGACGGGGAACGATTCAAACAGTGTAAATATGCTTTCCATTGAGGAAAAAAAGAAGTCTGGTTTCACGCTGTCACGCTAACCACCGCTCCGCACACACCCTCTGCTCCGGTCCAGAGACACGATAGCATGGAGCGGATCACATGCGCGAGTCGGCGCAGACCACAAAATGTATCGGAGCTATTTGAATTCTACACAGAATGCTATATTTTATAGCAATATAGATGAGATTGTTGCTGGCATACCCTGTTAAATGCAGCTTTACGGAGCTCAACGGCTCTAGCCCAAGCTGTGATATAAACGAACGCTATTGGCTATTTTAAAAAGGGGTGGGGCTGCTTGATATGTCCCGCCCTGTCTTCCTGTTTCAGTTAAAATGACGTTAACACATAGAGTAACGCTGCGTGTTTCTAAGCATTTCAGGGGACTTTTAAATTTTAGTAAAGTGACAACATAGAACTACATGGTACTTCGATGTGCTAAATAAAGGTGCAGTCATTTCAATAGGATTTTACACAATCAGGATTTTTGTGTGACGAGTCAAAGATTTCCCCATGCAGATTTTGTTCAAGTTGGTAATTTGCCATATCGAACAACAGAAAGCTGCTTGGTTTGAAAGTAACTTCTGTGTGAGCTGTGCTTCATAAATCACTACACTATTGACAATAGACAATTGAGCTTTTTTGCCTGAGAAATCAGTTTGTGTGTGTTTTTTAAAAAACATTTTTTTTAAAGGTTTAACACTAGCATGCAGAACTACTTTTCGGGGAAGGAAGACAAGAGTGTCACCAATGGTAATACGGTCATCAGCGAGATGGAGGATGGTAATACATGTTATGATCAGTTTTGGGATGATCCATCATGGCCGTTACTCAGACCAGGTAAGGGTAACTAGACAGGCTTCCTCGTGGGCTAGTAGCGACTAACCCTCTGCCGCTTGCAACAAAGTCAGATCTTGTTCTCTTTAAATGAATTCCACTCTACTATCTGTATTTCTGCTGTTTGTAAAACCTACGCCAACAGCACTTACTGAAAGCGTAGCCATCTGACATCTCTTATGAGAGGCTGACACTTTGCTTCCTTGCTGAATAACTGCGGTGCACTTTCTGTTTCAGAGCGTGGTGTCCTGTAGTGCAGCTCTAACCGTTGTGCTGCGTGGCGCTCTCTGTCACCCCCCTGCTGAAGCCTGTCTGTTTAGCCTTACTAAATCTGCCCTAGCTCCTGTCTCATCCTGCAGTGCTCTCTCTCTCTCTCTCTCTGTGTGTGTGTGTGTGTTCATGTCTTTCTCTCAGAATCAGTGATACAGCCTTCCACTCGTTTACAAAATAGTATCTGTCACTGTCTGATTGATAAGGTTTGCATTCATGCATTCAATTGAGGTTTTGTAAAGATATCTGCCAAGGACAAAGGCAAGTGAAATACAGATATGGTAACATAACATCACAACATTAAATCAGAATTGAGAATGTTCCTGGTGTCATTGTGTACAGTTTATCAATGCATGATGTCCCACAGAGAAAAAAAAGAAGTTTTTTTGCCATTTAATTAGCACTTGAGGCATAGAAATCACTCATTCTACCTTCAAGTTAGATTTAACCAAGAATATTACTTTAATATTGTGAATGTGTTTGTCTATATGTAGTTAATAGTGTATTGGCAATAGAGCTCTTCCTGTGGTGTCCTGCAGTAATCTGCGGGATAGTTGAGGATTTCATTTCATGTCAGTATTCTGTGTGTCGATGGTTTCTGACAGTATCCTGAGGCGCTGAGAGGTGGGCCTACAGTGTATCCCAGCAGGAATCAGTCTCTCACTGACAAATAGGACTTTAGATTGAAAATTGTGACACATCCTTTTTCTTTTGAGTGTGTGCGTTTACAGTCCTGCTGGTTTCTGTGCGCAGTTGTTGTGAGAATTTATTTATTTTTGGTCTCTTAGGGCAGGTTTGACAGTTATGTGTGTGTTTTATGAACAAATACTGTACATGCTGCACGTATTGAGCATGAGTACAATATGCTGCACGTATTGAGCATGAGTACAATATGCTGCACGTATTGAGCATGAGTACAATATGCTGCACGTATTGAGCATGAGTACAATATGCTGCACGTATTGAGCATGAGTACAATGTATAGGTGCACTTACAAAAAATTTTCCCTCCGTGTCCGCAGTAAAGCCCAGTAAAGAGTACACTAGGGGCTCTGTTGTGATGGTGGACGAGATGATAAATTCAAGCCCTCCGCATTATCGGTTCCCCGAGGCCGGCCTCAGGGTCATGATCACCAACCACTTTGGGCCCAAGACACGTCTGCGCATGGCAAGTCGACTTATCATCAATGAGGTAAGAAAATACACTAGCTGAGTGAACGGTAATAATTTTTTGGTCCATTTAATGAAAGTCAATTGAGTTCAGTCTTGTTTTGGACCCCATTTTGTTCCATTGTATGGACAAAAACGCATCCCCTTCACAAACTACAGTATCTAGCGAACTTTTCACAATACATTCAGTTCCTGATGGATAAAATTTGAATCCCCATCTTACTTATTGTTCCTTTTTCGAACATCATCTTTCGCTTGGAAAATGTCCCAATACAGAAGTCAAATGGGTTGTGAACACTGATTCCTGTTGAATTCAACAGATTAGAGTTGCAGATGTGTTCAGCTATTTTACAAGCTCTTCAAATGTGGCTCATCTGTTGAGAATTCAGAGTCTGCACGATCCGGTTATAATAGAGCATATTTAACACTGGGAATCCGGAGACTTGATTATAAGCCGGAGTTCAAGCCGGAGCTTATGGGCCAGTCTTTGTTGGCTAACTCAGCACTGTGGAGTTCTCACGTCAGGTAGCCTAGTTCTGGGTGTGAGGCTGATTAAACTGTTTCTATAAATATCCACACGCTGGCGTTCAAAGAATTGTGTTAGAAATTCAAACCCCTGTTACAAAGACTGTTGAGGAATTTGATGGTGACATGTCAGCTAGTTAAGAGAATTGAGACTGGGAATGGTGATAAACTGTTAGTACTTTGACACAAAAGGTTGCCAGTTTCATCAATATAACATTTTAAGGGATAGTACACCCAGAAATGAAAAAAATGTGTCCTTATTTACTCACTCATGTTATTTCGAACACCCAAGTGTTTCAGAAAATGAGCATCATACTAGTGGGGAAAAATTCTAATTAGCTTAACAGAAAAGCGTGGGTTTGTGAGGAAATGGATAAGAGTGAATTATGAAGCAGTTTTTGCTCGCTGCCCCTCATACAGCAGCAGCGGATGGTGAAGATGGCCAATGGGGTGGATGCAGTGTTGGTGGCTGATAAGAAAGCTGACACCATAGAAAATGGCAACGTAGCGGAGGACAAACTCACTGAGGAGCCAGAGAGTGAGCTGTCATCTCCCTTCGTCTTGCCTGGTGAGGCAGTTTCACTTTCTCACACATTAGCACATTGGCTCGTTAACCGCATGTAGTGACATCAGTGCATCTGAAGTCATAGTATAGTGGACCTATTCACATAGTTCTTACACTGTGTCCTAACCAGCAAGGTCCCTGTGGTGATATTAAAAATAGAAATATCAGGTTAAACTGTTAGTACTTTGACACAAAAGGTTGCCAGTTTCATCAATATAACATTTTAAGGGATAGTACACCCAGAAATGAAAAAAATGTGTCCTTATTTACTCACTCATGTTATTTCGAACACCCAAGTGTTTCAGAAAATGAGCATCATACTAGTGGGGAAAAATTCTAATTAGCTTAACAGAAAAGTGTGGGTTTGTGAGGAAATGGATAAGAGTGAATTATGAAGCAGTTTTTGCTCGCTGCCCCTCATACAGCAGCAGCGGATGGTGAAGATGGCCAATGGGGTGGATGCAGTGTTGGTGGCTGATAAGAAAGCTGACACCATAGAAAATGGCAACGTAGCGGAGGACAAACTCACTGAGGAGCCAGAGAGTGAGCTGTCATCTCCCTTCGTCTTGCCTGGTGAGGCAGTTTCACTTTCTCACACATTAGCACATTGGCTCGTTAACCGCATGTAGTGACATCAGTGCATCTGAAGTCATAGTATAGTGGACCTATTCACATAGTTCTTACACTGTGTCCTAACCAGCAAGGTCCCTGTGGTGATATTAAAAATAGAAATATCAGGGTATTTTAAAATTGGGATATCTAGATCTGGATTCAAGTAAGTAATGGAAATATTTGTGCGTGTGTTTGTATGTATGTCAGTATGATTTCTTTTTTTTTTTTACAATATTACAGAAGACTTCTAGTTCAAATAAATGCTTTTGAACTTTATTTATCATGCATCCTGAAAAATTTACCACTGTTTCCAATCATGACATATTATGCAACACAACATTGATAATAATAAGAAATGTTTCTTGAGAACCAAATCAGCATATTAGAATGTTTTTCAATATTTGTCACCACAGGAATAAATTACATGTTAATGTATATTAAAATAGAAAGCTGTTTTAAATTGTAATAATATTTTAAAATGTCTAATTTGACTGTATTTGTGATTACATAAATGTAGCCTTGGTGAGCATAAGACTGTAAAGGAAAAACTGTAAAAGTCTTGGAAATGTTGAACTTCCATGTTCATCTGTTTTTGTCAGTTATGAGTATAATAAGTCCTGCCCACAATGAAATCACATTGGTCACATTCACAGTATTTTCAAATATTTATTTGTTTGTTTATTTTTGGTCTGTATTGATTGATCAATTTGTAAATGTTCTTGGTACCACATTGTTCAGTCTGTTCAGAGTAAAACTATTGTGAGAAAATCACATGAAGGGATCACTTTTGTTATGGATCTCTTGTTTTGTTGAGATTATAGCTTTTTTATTGTATTCACTGCCTGTGTTTGGAGTGCCTTAAAGATTTCAAGTTTTCCTTTCTCTTTGGAGTGTTACAAGCTGTTCGTGAATAGATAAGATCCCTAAAGTTGCAAAGACTAAAGTCTCAAACCCAAAGAGATATTCTTTATAAAAGTTAAGACTCATCCACGCCCTCCTAAAACGCCTCGTTTAAACACGCCCCCACATGTCTACGTCACGATGTGGGAAGATTTGCATAACACCACCCAAATGTACACGCAAAGAAAGAAGGCGTAACTTTTATTCTCGCTGTAGTATTGTTGTTGTTGCCGCCGCCGCCGCCATGTCGTGAAGGCACTGTGTGTTTTGTTGTGAAAGCGAAACTACTTTGTTTGGTCTTCCAAAAGAGGACACAACTAGAAATCAGTGGTTAAGTTGTATTTACAACACTGTTCCAGAACAGTTCAAACCAAATATTCAGATGTTTTGAGCAGTGAGTAGAGCTTATTGTTTGTCGTTTCTCCGATCACAAATGCAGACATGGTTTTGTTTACGCGGCGCGATGCAACGCAACTTGTAAAAAAGTCATTATAATCAGTAATTATGTCCCCACTGGATGCTACAAATGCCTCGTTTATAATGGGTTTTATTGGTGTTGTCTCATCGCACCAGGACACGGCATCACAGTATGGTAAGGGGCGTAACATTTCCGCCACACGCTTGAGGTATTTGACCAATCACAACGCACTGGATAGCTGGCCAATCAGAGCACACCTCGCTTTTCAGACCGATGAGCTTTGTAAAAATCAACGCGTTTCAGAAAGGCGGGGCATAGAGGAGAAACAATAATGTACACTGTGGAAAATAATGTGTTTTTTGAACCTTAAACTGCATAAACACATTTCATTACACTAAATACACTAAATGTTATTTTTTAGCATCATATGACCCCTTTAATATTATGCACTGCATGGGTATTTCTCATGTGTTTTCTTGTGAGCTCTGCTTTCATCTGAGCTATGAGCTAGGATTGGATGGTCAACTTAATGCCATAAAGAGAAGTTTTTTTGGAGGGCTAATTACTGACATGCTGTGCCATGTGACTGTAGGGGGCACAAAGGATAAAGTGAAGTTTTTCATTTCCTGGCCCATTATGGTATTGCTGTTCTTCACGATACCCAACTGTGCCAAACCACGGTGGGAGCGCTTCTTCATGCTGTCCTTCTTCCTCTCTACACTGTGGATCGCCATCTTCTCCTACGTCATGGTGTGGATGGTGAGTTTCAGTATCTTTGTGTATGTAAGCATTTTTCATGTCTTTTTCCCCCTGCATTATTCAATTTATTAAATATCATACTTAATAATGAATTGTTTATACAATATTTAAAATCTTGAATCTTAACTGTGACTGCCATAGTAAATTTTGTAAAATCTTTTTATTAGCCCCCTAGCAGTCCCTGGGGGTCCTTGGACGTCAGTTTGAAATCGTCTTTGTTTTGACACAATTTCTTTGAATTTTGCTTATTTTAGGTCATTCTGCTTGCAGGCATGTTACATCACTATTCCTATAAGCATTTCATTGAGGCTCATTCATGTGGGTTGCTGTGTGCAGGTCACAATCGCTGGATACTCACTTGGAATCCCAGATGTCATTATGGGTATAACTTTCCTGGCTGCTGGCACCAGTGTTCCCGACTGCATAGCCAGTCTCATTGTTGCACGACAAGGTAGAGCTCTCCTTTGTTTAATTTTCTTGGTTTTTCTACCTTTGCTTATCTTTCATCCATGTTGAGCTGACTTTCCAGATTTGGCTTTGTGTCTGTGTGCTCAGGCCTGGGGGACATGGCTGTCTCCAACACGATTGGCAGTAACGTCTTTGATATCCTGGTTGGACTTGGCGTTCCCTGGGGCATCCAGACAATGGCTGTCAACTACGGCTCTGTGGTATCTGTCTTTGTCACTCCTCAAACATACACGCACACACAATTCCACAAAGACCGTAAAATTACCTTTCTTTTTTTGTGTCCTATTTAGATTAAAATCAACAGTAGAGGACTGATTTACTCCGTTGTTCTGCTGCTGGGTTCGGTGGCTTTAACTGTGAGTAAATGTAAAAGACAATTCACTTCAGAAATACAATACATGGACACCCCTTTTTAGTTTTAGTTAGAACCTCTAATTCCACTGAAGACAAAACGTCTACAAAAATTCTATAGCTGAGTGTATATAGATTTGGTTTGGTTATATTTTGCTTACATACAAATGTATAAATTCTTTTAATTTATACAGGGCAGTGTTTCAGACTGATTCAAACTTCTAACTTCTTTTTAAACATTTCATTAACAGTTTATGTTCATCCAATCCAGTGTAGCCTGATTTCAAATATTAAAAAGTCGTGAATATTTATTACAAAATTAATAATGACTTAAAATTTTAAAATTTTTTATTGTCATATGAAATGTACAAATAGTTATTGGATAGATATATATTGGATAATTCATATAAATGTAATATTTATATATCAATTTACAAAACAAGAAAGGGAGAGAGAAAAAAAGATAAAATAAAATCAACTTTTTAATATTTTTTTTAAATGGCATGTATGTATAATTTGTCCATATGCTCTCACATTATTGTTATACTCTAATACCATTCATCGCTCAAACTGATATATAGGTTGATCTCTAGTCCAAATATGTAGGTGAGTAGAACGCAGCAGCGTCTGCAGGATTAGAAGCTCTTTACAAATAATTTTTTTAAACAGCCACTGAATGTAAGTATAGAGTAGAAGGAGGAAAATCACATTTTTTCATCCCTCCTTAAAGGGATAGTTCACCCAAAAATAAAAATTACCCCATGATTTCTCAAGCCATCCTAGACTTTCTTCGAATTCAATCTGAGTTATATTTAAAAATTTCCTGGCTCTTCAAGCTTTATAATGGCAGTGAATGAGGGCTGATATTCAATAGTCCAATAGAAGTCCAATAAAGTGCATCCATCCATCATAAATAGTGCTCCACACACCTCTGGGGGGTTAATAAAGGCTTTCTGAAGCGAATCAATGCGTTTGTGTAAGAAAAATATCCACCTATGATTTCTCAAGCCATCCTAGACTTTCTTCGAATTCAATCTGAGTTATATTAAAAAATTTCCTGGCTCTTCAAGCTTTATAATGGCAGTGAATGAGGGCTGATATTCAATAGTCCAATAGAAGTCCAATAAAGTGCATCCATCCATCATAAATAGTGCTCCACACACCTCTGGGGGGTTAATAAAGGCTTTCTGAAGCGAATCAATGCGTTTGTGTAAGAAAAATATCCATATTTAAAACTTTATAAACCGTAATCTCTAGCTTCCGCTAAATGTCGTACATGCATTCACGAGAGAGTGGCTTTCCAGCAGATGACATAGAACATAGGCGACCACGGTAACAAATGCAGAAATGACAAACGAGGAAATGTAGTGGAGAGAGCAAAAAAAACACTGGTCATGAATTAGAAGTACAAAATGAGGATTTGTAAAGACCTTTGCTGTAAACAAAACTTGGTTCTCACGAGACTAGCATATTCTCACCGGAGCTTACGAAGACTAGCATATTCTCACCGGAGCTTACGTCCTACGTCATCCACTGGAACACCGCTCTCTCATGAACGTGCGTACGACAGTTAGCAGAAGCTAGAGATTACGATTGTTTAGGTGTCCATACAGTGTATAAAAGATTATTTTCTCTGGCTTCCTACGAATTATTTTGTTTGTCCACTTTCAGGTGCTGGGGATCCATGTGAACAAGTGGAGGTTGGACTTTAAGCTGGGCATATACGTGCTTGTTCTGTATGCCATCTTCCTCTGCTTTTCCGTCTTGATCGAATACAATGTCTTCACTTTCGTCAACCTGCCCATGTGCCTAGAAGGTGTCTAGGCTAGATGATTTCCATGGGCTTTGAACCAAAATACCTCCGGAGGATAAACCTGCAACCAAAATCACCAATTATTCTGCTGTTTCCTCTCTCTTTAAACTCCCTACTGTTGAAGAAAACCACTGTCTCCCGCTGCACATTCAAACCACTGTGGCTCAGATGGAAGAACTGCATTTCTCAGAATACCGTTGACTCGCAACTTTCTCCATCAATTCCAGGAAATTAAATTCTCTTTGGCAGCTCTCTTTATAACTGGATATTCTTCCACTTCTGAACCTTGGACAATCACAATGCAGCCCGTAAATGTCTTGTTCAGAGCAGAAGGATTCAAAGTGTACACTTACATCACAAACTGCACACACACACGGCAATGACAAAGAATGCTGCTCATTCCTGTATGCATTAGCAATCTACATTTTCTCATTTCTGTATTCCCTTGAGACAACGTATAACATGAACATAATGCACTTTATATGTGGCATAAAACATCTATATCATATTAATTAATTTCCTCCAGAATGGACAAATGAAAGTTCGTCAATGATGTGGCGCTATAAAAAGATGGAACTGACATGAAATGACTGTCCTCGGGCAAGAAAGTGATTCTCGCAGCTGGTTTCACACAAGAAAACTGTTGAAATAAGACGCATAGCAGATGTGAAGCATTTTCTGTATGGATCGTGTGGCAGGGGTGAGCAGTTATGAAATCCTTATGAGCTGGACCATATAATTCCTGCTGAGAGCTTCCGGCAGGTGCCCATCGGAGAGGTCAGCGAGTGGACCAGCTTCTAACACATGGAAACAGAAGCTCTAAAATTGGACACGTTTTGGTTTCCCCTTAATTATTCCAATCTGCATTAACCAGTGAATGGAACCAATCATAAAGCACATATCAAAAGCTGCCCCTCACCTCTCGTTCAGACCAGAGCTGAAGGCCCTCAGGACCGCTCTTTGCTTGTTTCTCACTATGGACGATGACGGACAACTGTGGCTGCTTTGATATTACAAACACATACTGATGACATCCCAAACAGAGTTCCTGGATTTTGCAAACATTCTACAAATCGAAGAGTTTTTTTGGGGTTAGTTTATATGTAAATATAACATCACTGTTTGAACCAGTGCTTCCTAACAGATGATGGGAGGTGAGGGTGAATTTACATACGTGACCAAAGCGGCCACTTTTTCTTTATTTCCAATGCAACCTAACCCTCCCTCTCTGGATATTTATTACCGTTTGTCTGTAATGCATGATTTGACACAAAGAAGCCATTTTTAAAGCAGGGCAAAAGCTTTGTGAGCTCACGTCAATGTTCCTACTAGGATGAATCTCAAGAAAATGTGCCCAGGTCATATTTCATTCCAAAATCAAAAGAAAAATAAATTAGATTGTGCAAGGAAATTAAGTTTAAAGACCTTTTAAGGTTTATCTGCATTGCAACATTTATTTTCATAAAATTTAAGCACATTTTCAAACCTGGATTCTCATAGCTGTAATATGCGGACTTCATATTAATTTGTGCATACTGTAATAAAATATATTTAAATTAGCATTAGCAAATTTTAAATTTTAATGATATTTTTTGCATTACAGTAATAGGATTGAGATTTTGTTATGCGGCCATGGAAATGTTTTGATCGTTTTTATTATTGTATGATTTTTTTTTTTTTTGTATTGTGGTAATAAGGTTTTTTTTTTTTTTTTTTTTTTTTTTGAAAGGCCTGAAGTACAGCACCCGAGCAAAGATGAAGCCAGGTATGATTTACAAATGGTTTGGTTTTAGTTACTATGCACCTTTATGCATTAACATTTACAGCAGTGGGTTACATCAGCTTAAAATCATTAACCAGCTGGACTTTAAAGTGTCAGGCTGCCATAAAGCACAGGATTTAGCATGTGGCAGTCAGAGAGTCTGTCTCCCAGTGCTCTGCGGAGCATTATTCGGCTGCAGAGTCAGGATATTAAGAACACCTCTGGTATCGCTGCAGGTATGAAGGGTGAAATTATGATTAGATGCCATGGTATGTTTAGGAAATACACTGTAAATCTTGTGTTGATGTTATGATTTAATTTTTGCTTGAGCCAAGCACATTCCAACTTGACAGAAGAATATGATTTATACTGGTGGATTCATGTTTTATTAACTTTCAAACTGAGAATTCTAATTATGCAGTATATTGATCAGTGAATGCATTGAGTGAATTTACAGTATTCGCTTTCTGTAAACGAGGTAGAATAAATTAATCATTTAAATCATTCGTGTCAGAACTTTCTGCATATAGTGCCCAGCCTCAGAAATAACATGTGACTACTGCATTAGGACACTGTGAACCTTCACTCTTTTGAGACTTTGGCATCTAAGCTGTATTGCTCTCTCCAAAAACCCTAAAGGAATGCTAATATTTCGAATGCAATTTTGAACCAACTCTAAATAAATAAAACATGAGTTATGAAAGTGTCAAATATAACTGCACTGTATAAACTGAAAGCTGAAACTTCAGTTCGTTGTTCCAGTAGGATCTTTTTATGGGACTAGGATTGGATCCAAATTTTCGATATCATTTAGGACATTTTTTACGTACCAAATTGTAAATCCTTAATCTGCAAAACATTTTTAAAATTATGCATTAACATTTACAGCAGTGGGTTACATCAGCTTAAAATCATTAACCAGCTGGACTTTAAAGTGTCAGGCTGCCATAAATCACAGGATTTAGCATGTGGCAGTCAGAGAGTCTGTCTCCCAGTGCTCTGCGGAGCATTATTCGGCTGCAGAGTCGGGATATTAAGAACACCTCTGGTATCGCTGCAGGTATGAAGGGTGAAATTATGATTAGATGCCATGGTATGTTTAGGAAATACACTGTAAATCTTGTGTTGATGTTATGATTTAATTTTTGCTTGAGCCAAGCACATTCCAACTTGACAGAAGAATATGATTTATACTGGTGGATTCATGTTTTATTAACTTTCAAACTGAGAATTCTAATTATGCAGTATATTGATCAGTGAATGCATTGAGTGAATTTACAGTATTCGCTTTCTGTAAACGAGGTAGAATAAATTAATCATTTAAATCATTTGTGTCAGAACTTTCTGCATATAGTGCCCAGCCTCAGAAATAACATGTGACTACTGCATTAGGACACTGTGAACCTTCACTCTTTTGAGACTTTGGCATCTAAGCTGGATTGCTCTCTCCAAAAACCCTAAAGGAATGCTAATATTTCGAATGCAATTTTGAACCAACTCTAAATAAATAAAACATGAGTTATGAAAGTGTCAAATATAACTGCACTGTATAAACTGAAAGCTGAAACTTCAGTTCGTTGTTCCAGTAGGATCTTTTTATGGGACTAGGATTGGATCCAAATTTTCGATATCATTTAGGACATTTTTTACGTACCAAATTGTAAATCCTTAATCTGCAAAACATTTTTAAAGATTTTATTTAAGTCTGCAAGCATGAAGACAGCTGCAAGATCTCACAGACAATATTACTGTATGTTTACTGACAGGATATCAACAGGCTAATGTGGTGATCTTGCACAAGGATCTTGCTGATGACTTTGAGGCGTTTTGCAGAGCTAACAGTAGCCCCCTACCGCTGCTGTACAGGAGCAAATGTGGAGAATGGAGCTGTGGCCCCCTCACCACAGGATCTGACATCAGGTATCTTCACACCAAAGTGTTCACTAACAGAAATGAAGCCCCTTCTCCTTATTTTATTTTATTTTTTATTTTATTCACCAACCACTGAGTAAATAAGTGGTTGTGTCAGAACTTTCTGCATATAGTGCCCAGCCTCAGAAATAACATGTGACTACTGCATTAGGACACTGTGAACCTTCACTCTTTTGAGACTTTGGCATCTAAGCTGGATTGCTCTCTCCAAAAACCCTAAAGGAATGCTAATATTTCGAATGCAATTTTGAACCAACTCTAAATAAATAAAACATGAGTTATGAAAGTGTCAAATATAACTGCACTGTATAAACTGAAAGCTGAAACTTCAGTTCGTTGTTCCAGTAGGATCTTTTTATGGGACTAGGATTGGATCCAAATTTTCGATATCATTTAGGACATTTTTTACGTACCAAATTGTAAATCCTTAATCTGCAAAACATTTTTAAAGATTTTATTTAAGTCTGCAAGCATGAAGACAGCTGCAAGATCTCACAGACAATATTGCTGTATGTTTACTGACAGGATATCAACAGGCTAATGTGGTGATCTTGCACAAGGATCTTGCTGATGACTTTGAGGCGTTTTGCAGAGCTAACAGTAGCCCCCTACCGCTGCTGTACAGGAGCAAATGTGGAGAATGGAGCTGTGGCCCCCTCGCCACAGGATCTGACATCAGGTATCTTCACACCAAAGTGTTCACTAACAGAAATGAAGCCCCTTCTCCTTATTTTATTTTATTTTTTATTTTATTCACCAACCACTGAGTAAATAAGTGGTGGGAAAATAGGAGGCTGTTCCTTTACAGATTATCTTTAGTCAGACAGCTGTAAAAGATTAATTTTTTTGACTATAAAGTGTTCTGATGCCATCTTGCCATTTAATAATTACACCCAGAGGTAAACTAGGGGGAAAAAGGGCTGGACAACCCTTGAAGGGATAGTTCACCCAAAAATAAAAATTCCATCATCATTTATTTCCCCTTATATTGTTCCAAACCTGTATGAGTTTCTTTCTGTTAAACACAAAAGAATATATTTTGAAGAATGTTTGTAACCAAAGAGTTGACCGTAGACTTCCATGCTTTTTTCCCCCAAAGTCAATAGCTACTGTCAACTGTTTGGTTACCAACATTTTCAAAAATGATTTTATTTAACTTATGCCTTGTCCTGTCTTTCTCTCAGGGAGGACTGTCCAGAGTACTGTGTGTTTGAGAACGGTGTGCTGATGAAGAAGGTCGCTAGTTTATCCTCTTACACTCCTCAACTTCAGGACATGGTTACATTCTACCTAGGCTGTAGTTTTGGTTTTGAATCAGCCTTGAAGGCCGCTGGGGTTCCAGTGAGAAATGTGGAACAGGGTAAAAATGTCAGCATGTACAAGGTCAGTAAACACCTCGGGCCTGGATTACATCCGTGTGCAGTAGCGCCTACAGCGTATTACTTGATTTTGCTTGTGTCAGATGTTTTCCCTGTTTTGAAATTGAAAAAATGACCAGATGGAACATCCTTTAGGTCAGAGTGCTTATGCCTGTTTTTGTTTTGTTTTGCTTTGTGTTTGCAGACCTCAGTAGCTTGTATTAGAGCAGGTCAGTTTCACTGTCCGATGGTGGTGAGCATGAGACCTGTACCAGAAGACAAGCTGGACAATGCGGCTCAAAGCACACACGGGATCCCACTGGCACATGGAGGCCCTGTCCATATTGGAGACCCTAGTATGTACTTATTTATATAAAAAAGAAATAATAATAAAAAAAATAATTCTCACTAATCATATACAACCTTTGAATGGTCTTAAGGTGATTTTCAATAGATCAATTTGTCAGTTCCCCTCAAATGAACAGTTATTCAGTTTATCTATTTTTAATATCTATTGTTTTAGCCGTTTAAATAAGCGCTTTAAAAAAAACTTTTTGCTTGAAAAATGTTATGCTATATTTTTCTTAATAAATTGCACTTGATTTGATTAGCTGTGTTTTTGTATTGTTTATATGCTATTATAGTGCTATTATATTTTGAATTAACATTTATTTTTCTACTTTCAGTTTTTATTTTAGTTTAAGTTTCAGTGATTTTTGTAATATTTCTATTTGGATGTATTTTATTTTAAATTTTAGTAATTATAGTACTTAAAATTATAAACATTTCCTTGGGAACTGACTGAAATAAAGTAAGTTTAAGTTTTTCATCTATATTTTATTTTATTTTATTTTATTTTATTCGGCTTTATTTCATTTAAAGGAATAGTTCACCCAAAAATGAAAAT